AGCAAGACTACTTCAAGGATCATGGGACTTAGAAAATAGGTTATGATTGGGGTTATAAGTCCCCTAAGTGGGGTTATCCTAATTATAATCTACTTATAACCTTACTTACTAAGTCGCATGAGCCTTCAAGTATTCTCAGTGTCAAGGGTGGATGGTTGTGCTTCAGTTTGTGACATTCATTTTTTGCGGGATCAGCAGCGGAGTCACTCGGGGCGTTCTCGGTAGGGTCTCAAGCTTTATTATAATATTTAAATAAATATTGAGGTAAGAATAATTAACAAACTGATTAGATCAAGCATCCTTGTGGCCCTACCAGCTGCAATCAGATCTCCTCAGACCGTCGTTGCATGGTCAACCCAACACCCACCCAGGCCCTAAACCTCAGACCTCAAACCCCCCTTTTTGCTTTTTTACCAACCCTAAACTAAACCCTAAACCCTAAACCCTATAAGTAGCCGTGTCAGGCCTTCTTCCGCTGGAGGCCTGGGGGCCCTGTCCAGACCGGAGACTTGGACCTTGGAGCTGTCCGCCGTAGACCAGTACCCAGAGAGCCCGATACCCCTTAATTAAGGAATATAGCTTAAATCATAATATCAAGCCCCCAATGATTTAAGGTATATTCCTTAATTAAGGGATATTGGGACCTCTGGGTAGATTTCGAAAGCCCTGACCTTAGGGTTCAGGGCTTTGGGAATTCTGAGCCCGAAGCTATGTAACAATATAGTATTTTTTATATATCATTACACTATTGTATATTTCTATGTGTATTGTGCAGACCCTAAGCACTAAACCTCAAAACCCGTCAACCTTGCACCCGGCCGGTGGTGGCGCTTGCCATGGTGACTCGATCACAAAGAAGGTTGCATAGCGTTTATAGTTCCGGGTCAGGAGCATCCCTTTTCCGGCCATCATTTGCCAACAAAACGAAACCCTAAACCCTAAACCCTAAACCCTAAACCCTAAACCCCGTGTACAGCAGCTCCAGGGCTTCCCACCACCAGGAGTCTCTCTTCCTCCCTAGCTTGCAAGCCCCAGGAGACATCACGGACGACAAGCGCTTCTACAAGCATGGGGCCGTGAAGCTCTTCTACACGGCCCACCATGCCGTGCACCCGCTGCTCGATTGGTTTGTTAGTATATGGGCCTTAGTAATCAGAATAGGGTTTTGGGGCCCATTATACTATAACTATAATATGGAACCCGCAAAATAGTATGGGTAATTATTTAGGCCCATTATATTATAACTATGAGTTAGGCCCCTATGTTGACTTTTCCGGAGGCACCAGTCCTCCAGGCCATGGTCCCTTGGCGATCGGTATCTTCATTCCCAGGCCCAAGCCCCAGGGTTTAAGATTTAGGGTTTAGGGTTTAAGGTTTAGGGTTTAAGGTTTAGGGTTTAGGGTTTAAGGTTTAGGGTTTAGGGTTTAAGGTGACCTAATTATAGAACCCTATAGTGCCCTTTAAAGGGGACCCTGTGCGACAGCCCTATTTAGAAGCCAGAAAGTCGGCACATCAATATCCTCATGCCCATGCCCGTAAGGTAGAGTATAGGGAAATCCAGCACCAATCCTCCTAAACCCATCTTTCAATTTTCTGGGGTGCACTGTAGTACCCTTGAAAGGTTACATTCTTATAGAACCATATAGTACCCTTTAGGGGATCCTGTTGTAGAGCCCTATGGTACCCTTTACAGGAAACCCTGAACCCTAAATCTTAAACCCTAAACCTTAAACCCTAAACCCTAAACCTTAAACCCTAAACCCTAAACCTTAAACCCTAAACCTTAAACCCTAAACCCTAAACCCGCCCCGTTATTCAACTCTGGAAGCTGGCGTTTCGAAGGAGGACCCGGGCCCCAAAGCTTTCATCATTCTAAGCGTACGGGGAGGGTTTGGGGTTTAGGTGTTTTGGGTTTAGGGGTTTAGGGTTTAGGGTTTTAGGCTTTAGGGTTTAAGGGTTCAACAGTTTGGGTTTAGGGTTTAGGTTTCTTAAGGCTTCAGGGTTAGGGTCTAGGAGTCTAGGGTTTAAATTTAGACATTGCTGTGGGGCTTGAGGTTTCAGTTTAAGGCCCTACACCCTTAACTCCAAAATCCTGAGCACTAAGGTATACCCCTAGCAATGAACCCGTCTTTAAGGTCGGTAGTATTTGGATGACTGGAACAGTCCCTAGTAAGCGGGGGAGAGGGCTTCTTAATTGGAGGTCTACGTTACACCCAAAGACCTAAGCTCCGAAGTCCCTCAACCCTCTACTTAAGGGATCATGGGACTTAGTAAATAGGTTATAATTGGGGTTATAAGTCCCCTAAGTGGGGTTATCCTCATTATAATCTACTTATAACCTTTCTTACTAAGTCCCATGAGCCTTCAAGTAAGCCTTCAAAACCCAAGCCCCACACCCCAAAACCACCCCCCGAGCCCTCACATCTCTAAACCCCCTACCGGTTATTCTCCAACCCGCGAACACTAACGCCCCAAAGCCTTGCATGCCCAGGAACGTGTCCGCACAACACATCAGCCGAATCCACGACCAGCGCTTCGATGAGTTTAGCTTTTTGTTATGTTAGTAACCCTAAATAGGATCCTTATTATAAGGCTCCCAAGATAAGGTACCACAATTTTTCGGAAACTTCTTTTCGTAGGGTCTGAGGGAACTATCGATTACGTTTCTTGTCGGTGAGTTTAGGGCTGAAGATCTGGATTGGCCTTTTATTCAAGGTTTTGAGGACATGTTAGCTTCCCGTTGAGCGCTTTTGGATTTTATTCATTTTCGTTTGGTACAGCATCTCACCCCTCCCTTCTCGAAGCACGAATTCGACTTTTCGAAGCTCCTCCAGAATCTGAGACACAAAAATACGTCGGGATGGTGGCCACATTTCCGAAGTGCTGAACCACCAAAGCCCAGGACGCTCACCCAAGCCTCGTTGACCCAAAGCACCTCCCAGGTATGTCAAAGGCAAGTGGCCGAACTCGGGTATCTTGGCTTTTCAAACCCTACTGTACCCACCATGACCATGACCCTGAACTTCAACCTCAAGCTTAAAGTCTTTAATCTTGAACCCTGTAGGCTTAGAATGCAGCTTTCTCTGTTGTGAAGGGAATTCCACTACCACTTACAACTAGTTCGAGCACTGGTATGCAAAGCTTGTACTCTTTCCAGAAGTACTGCTCTGCGACACTGGCCGCAAACTGCAATGAAAAGCTAGAAGCTTCGGACAAGAGCTACCAGCCAGAGCAGCGACTGATCCTAAGCCCCAAATCCCTCAAGCCCTTTATCTCCCGAGCCCCTGAACTCTTAACCCTAAATCCTAAGTTGTACCTGCAGGTGGAAAAAGGTTCTCAAAAAAAAAATCCTAAGTTGGACTATAAAGGGGGTTTTAGCGTGACTTAAAGGGTCATGGGACTCAGTATCCCAGAGACTCCAAGATCCCTTAATTAAGGAGTATTCCTTAACACATATAGGGGATCCTAGTATAAATTACGGTATATCCCGAACATTCCTTAACTCGCTTATGGAACCCTTATAGATCCCTTTAAGGAACCGTTAAAGGAACCCAGTAGGATCCTATAAGTTAAGGTATACTCCGAATATTCCTGAACTCGCTTACGGAACCCTTATAGATCCCTGTAAGGGAAGCCTTAGGTAAATTCCTTAATTGAGGGATGTTGGACTCCCTGGGATCTGAAAGGCATCGTTTTCAACAAGCGCCTTTGGACTGCGGAGCAGCTTCACCAAGAGCACCCCGACATGGGCTGCCTCTTCTGATAGCATTTTTCGGGGGGGTCCCCTAAACCCTAAACCCTAAACCCTAAACCCTAAACCCTAAACCCTAAACAAGAGGATGCAAGAATCATCTCTGCTACGTGGTGTTGCTACAAGGGTCTCATGAGTCTTACAGGGTTTCACTGGCTGTCATATTTGAGAGCTTCCGAAAATTAGGGGTACCTTATTTGGGGGTCCTTATAATAAGGATCCTACTTCTTTAGGGTACTATATTGGGGTCCCCTATTCTCGGAAACTCCCATTTATTGAGTCGGGGTCTACACGGGGTTCTCAATGTCCGTGGCGTCGGGGTTCAGTTGTAGCGACCTTCTGTTCCCTGCGTTTCCAGAATCTCTTGCGAACAGTGAGTGCTCATGGACGTCATAGATACAAGCAGTGCGCTCGGAACTTCGGGCGTACTTTGTTGTACTTGAAGTTTGGGGTTCAGCGTAATTAAACCTAAATGTGTCCGACGCAGCCTCCTTGCCACGTTTCCCATGCAGCTGCAAAGCACAAAGACTTGCGGCGACGAATTGACCCCGAGTGCGGCGGAAAACGAGCGCTACTGTGTGGATGGTGACATTCAATCCCAAACATCATCCCGAGCCTACGCCCTGAAGCTTGAACTATAACTACTATTTGCTTAAGAACCACCCAAAAAAAAATAATCCCTATATTGCCCCCATAAGGAATGTATTTTTTTGCGGGGGGGTTCTTAAGCAAATAGTAGATAAAGTCCCTAAGCCCCAAACAGAATGTCTTAAACCCTGAAGCCCAAGCCCTTGCTGCCTGTGGTTGCATTTTCGGGCAGGAGCCTCTGCAGAGAGACTCCCGAAGCCGGTATTTGAGGGAATGGCGTACTAGAGGGGCGAGGGAGCTCCATATTCTGAATATAGTATGATATACCCCAAAACCCTGTTCTAATTAGTAAGGCCCCCATAATACTTTTCAAAATCCCAAAATCCACGGCGGGACTTGAATCTGGACAGCTTCCCATCTTCGACTTAAGGTTCCGGGTTTACCAAACTACGAAAAGCCTTGCCTTGCTGTAAAACCTCAACATGCGAGTTTCCGAAAGTAGGGAACCCTAATATAGTGCTCTTAAAGAGCAGGATCCTGTCATATGGACCCCAAAACAAGGTACCCCTAATTGTTCAGAAACTCCCACATCAAAGCCGAAAACCTACCCGTACCTTCGCCGTCGATCCTGAGCCGTAGGCCCTGAAGCCATTCAGTTCAGGCGCCAGGGTCCTTCGTGCCGCCGCTGTATCTCCAGGACGGTCTCAGGTTGTGAAGTTTGGGGCTTCATGTTCGGACTCCCTACAGCCCAACAGCAGAGATTCAGGGTGGAATTTTTTCATGACAATGAGTACGTCGGTTTTTTCAGTGGGTTTTTAAGGTGGAGCCGTTCGGGTTTGAGAAATTCGCGAGCTTTTGGTGCACCTGTTCCGGGCTAGTTTGGGTGTGGGGACATAGAAGAACAACAGTTTGCAAAGAACGGGACTGCTTGAAGGTTCATGGGACGTAGTAAGCAAGGTTCTAAGTACCTTAATTGGGGTTGTAAGTATAGTTACCCTACTTATAACACCACTTATAACTACCCCTCACTGTTTCCGATATGCCGGCTTTGGTGGGCCAGGTCTCCTTGGCTTTGCAGCCGGCGCCAACCCGCAAGTCACAATCTTAAGCCCAGCCCCCACTCAAACTTCGCTGCTGATAGTGGTTCTGTCAATGGTCCGCCTCACAGGGACCTAAGTAAGTAGCAATACTATTCCATAGGGGTTCCTTATTCTAGCTCTACTAGAAGAGAGCCTACAACCCTATTCTAATTATCAAGGCCCCTACATCACTTCCCATAAACCTGCCGAAGCCCCGAATCCTGGAACTGCGCAAAACCCTAAACTCTAAACCCTGCAGAAACCCCAAGCGCCGGCCCGAATCGCTTACCGAAATGCTGAATATTTCACGAGGATCCGTTTCGACCTCTCTGCAACCTCGGGGATCGCTGTTCGGATTCAAGTGGCTTGGTGTGCAGATGGAGGTACATCAAGCGCTGCATCATACTCTTGTTCTTCTTGGTGACAGGGTTGCTGTTGCTGGTTGTTTTGGTTGTGGTATCGTACTGTTGTGTTTTTCTCTAGCCTGGTTTGCACTGCCACTGTCCCTCATTCTCAAGTTTTTACGGTCCTCTCATTCTCGCCCTGATGTGCCGGAATCTTCAGGCTCTCCCGATGTACGGCGGTTTCGTCGTTTGTGGCACTTCTTCACGTCCATGTCTGTGTTTATTCTTTTTTCGCGAGCAGTACCGTACCTCTTTGGCACTCTTGGGGTTTTGATCCCCCGTTATGTATGTTTATTTTATGGGTTTCCAAGCTCCTTCGGTGTGCATTCTGGTCTTGGGGTAAGCCTGCTCTAAGCCCTCGTTCCTGAACCTACGGGTCTTGAAGATTTCGATGTTCCAACTCTTAGGGTGTGTTGAGGGTTTGGGCAGCAGCTCAAGCCTTCAAGACTCCAAGACTTGCATTCGGCCACGGGAATTTGATGATCTGTCGTCTGTAGTTGTAGGACTGGAGCCTGTGCGCCTGCCCTTAACCCGTCCTAACCCCTCAAGCCCAAGATAACCCAAGTCCAAAGTCTAGACTCTAGACCGCGACGACTACCACTAACTACTAATGCCACTACTACACTACCACCACCACCACCGCCACCATCACCACCATCACCACCACGACGACGACGGCTACTACTACGACTACGACTACACGATATTTATATCAAAGATGTTCGTGAGGTGGATAAGTAGTCAGAGCACTAACACGCAAGATTCCTTGTGACTGGGTTTTGGCCTAGTATAGGTTTCACCCTGAAATCTCAAACCCCATCACAGAACCCTATAGAACTTTTAGAAGAAGCCACGGTGGTTCTTCTAGACCCGAAACCCTAAACTCGAAAGCCCCCTAAACCCTAAACTCTATAGCCTAAACCCCCTCTTTCAAGCGAATTCCAGATTCCTAAAGCTTCTTAGGCGGATGGAAAAAGGTGCTAAAAAAACAACTCTTTTTCTTTAGGCTTCCAGCGCATCCGGGACGAGTTGCATCGAGCTGCCGGCCTCTGTGCGGCGAACTCCGAGGCGCCACTAAAAGCGGGAGCCAAGGCGTGAGAGTGTAGGGTTTAGGGTTCTGGGTTTAGGGTTGCGGGTTTAGGGTGTAGGGTTTAGGGTTGAGGGTTTAGGGTGTAGGGTTTAGGGTTGAGGGTTTAGGGTGTAGGGTTTAGGGTTGAGGGTTTAGGGTGTAGGGTTTAGGGTTGAGGGTTTAGGGTGTAGGGTTTAGGGTTGAGGGTTTAGGGTGTAGGGTTTAGGGTTTAGGGCTTAGGGTGTAGGGTTTAGGGTTGAGGGTTTAGGGTGTAGGGTTTAGGGTTGAGGGCTTAGGGTGTAGGGTTTAGGGTTGAGGGCTTAGGGTTGAGGGTTGAGGGTTTAGGGTTGGGGGTTTAGGGTTGGGGGTGTAGGGCTAAGGGTTGAGGGGTAAGGGTTTCGGGTTTAGGAGTACTTACTTGTCTTACTTCTTGGGACTCCTGGTTGCAATGATGCTAAGGTAGAATCCGAAACCCGGTTCCAATTATTGAGCAGGGGTGAAGACATAGCATCAGTAGCATGATACAGGATTTTGGAATGGTTCTTGAAAGGGATTTTATAAGGGATGTGATGCTTTTGGATTGGTGGTTTAGAGTTCTGCATCCCCTTACCCACTTGTAGTCCCAGGCATGTCTGCTATACTACGTGCCCCAGAAACTCCATTCGACGAGCAAGACTCTTGTATAAACAGGACTCCACGATTCTGGGCATCTGCCGGTACTCAGTGCTAGGTGCATGATTGCGGCGACTCTGGTAACAGGTCGTGGCAGCTCCGACTATAACAAGGACACTCATTACATGCAGAGCATCGAAGGAGATGACAACTTGGGGCATAAGGTGAATATGGGTATCCACTCAAGAGTATTTGCAGGAGACTCAGTAAGTAGGGTTATAAGTACCTTAATTGGGGGTATATGTAGTTATAATTAACGGTAGTTACCTTACTTATAATATCCCCAACTACTCAGTCCTATGATCCTCGAAGCACCCCTAAACCCTAAACCCTAAACCGTAAACCCTAAACACGCAGAAGGTCCAAAAAGGCCTCGCACATGGCTGAACTGTAGACTGCAACACCCGAAGCCTAGGTGGCACTTTGGGAAATTTCAAAATTTTCTATCTGGTTCCTACGGAGGTACCTATTCATCAATACTGTTAAGGGCCCCAACACTACAACTCAGAAAGCCTTCAAATAAATCACCTCGATGGAAAGTTGATTACGGACAAGACTCAAACCCCTGCACCACCAAGACGCCCCAATCTCACAACCCCCCTTCACCTCTAAAGCCCTGCGCACATACATCCCCTGAAAACCTACGGTAAACCCCATAAAGTTGGAAACCGGGTTAAGGCCAAAATAGTGCTAGGATTACATTACTCTTAAGGATTGAGGCCATTGGGTTTCCAACTTTTGGGCTTCTACTGTATGAACTTCCAGTTGAAGCATCTCTTCGAACCGTGGGCGCCTTGCAACGGCGGCCTGGCTGGGCTTTAGGGTTTAGGGTTCAGGGTTTAGAGTATAGGTGCTTTGTAGTTGTAGTCTGTTGTAGCAAAATTACATTCTAAAGGGATATTAGTGCCAGTTACACAGAGCCCTCCGTCCTCTAACGTGTCGCTGTCTGTTGGAGTATTCTGAGCGTCTTTTTCTGATATGGCAGCCTCTCCGACAACTAACAGGATTTGTTTGGGAGTTTCAGAAGCTCATGTGCAATATAGAAACCCTGAATAGCAGAATCCTTGTCTACAGTTTATTCAGGATCCTGTTTGTCTTGGGGGTCTTAAACCTTTATCAGCTCTGAAGACTTGAAAGCAAGAGACTGAACTCAAACGCGGGACTCCTTGCGAAGATAACTGCGCCCTCTGCAGACACCGGCGCACCTCCCGCACCCGGGGTGAGAAACCCTCATCGGAACCTCGATCCTCCACACTTGAATTACATCTCTTTACCCTAAACCCTAAAGCCTGTCGCTCCTTTAGGAAAGCAAGTTCCTCTCTTTTTGGGTTTGTGCTGTTGCAACCAAGGCTCTGCTCACGATGACCGCGATTGATGCGAGGAGTGAAGCTTTGCCCAAATGGCGACCAGCGGGATGTGGAAGCCTAAGCCTTAGAGAAGTTAGGTCTGCTGGCTGGTTCATGGGATTTTTGCAGTAACGGGTGGTTTCGAGTTGATTCGCACTGGTGGATGGTTAGCTGGCCTTAAGCTTGACCTTACACATTCCAAGGCAGCATTTGGGTGAGTGTGGCCTCTGCCGTGTACTTCTACGCTGTTTATCCAAGCCGACAGGGCATGAGAGATGCGGAAGAGCCGCCGAAATTGCTGGGGCGCAGCTCGCTGTGCCTAAGCCGTGACCATCTCCGTGTATGCACAGCCATCCGAAATCTCAGCCAAAACTGCGCCCTGCGCTGTTGAACAGTTGATTTACGGTTCGAGGTGCTCTAAAGGCGTTCCAGGGATGTCTTGCAGCACGGTAAACTACATGGAGTATGCGAGATAGCAAAGTCGATGATTCTGTAGCGGCTTTCAAATCTTCGGGCTTAGGATTGAGCATGACAGTTTCTACATGGGATAGGCTTCTAGGAAGCTTTCGCAGATATTTTTTGTTTCAATAAATCCGTGAGCTTGAAGCAGATCCTGACTCGTAGGACCCTCAACCTGAAACCCCACCCCCCCGAGAAAACAGTACTCACCCCCCTTGGCTAAACTATAAGCCCGAAGCCCTGTAAAGCTTGAAAAGCACTAGCGCCTGCGCAGTTGCCCACCTTAACTTAGGAGGAAAGATCTGGTTTAGGATTCATTTCGGTTTCTAGGACTTCACAAGGGTTTGTTCGCGATGCTTGAAGGCTTGCTGTCGCGCAGCTTTTTACCAAGTTGCTACATACATGAAGCCTAAACCCTAAACCCCTAAACCTTAAACCCTAAACCCTAAACCCTAAACCCTAAACCCCTAAACCCTAAACCCTAAACCCTAAACCCCTAAACCCTAAACCCCTAGACCCTAAACCCTAAACCCTAAACTTCATGAAAGAGTGGTGACAAGGGGCCGTAAAGCAGGGAGGCCCCTGAAGCCCGTATCAGCAAGCAGCCCGAAGCTTCTGGAGCCTAGCTCAGGCCCCCTAAACCCTGACCTGAACCCCAAGACCCCTAAGCCTAAACTACGGTTGATGATATAAATCCTGCATGACCTTAAGGACCTTAAACTATGGGAATTATGGTATATACCCTATTATGGGTCATTCAGGATTGATATCATCAGCAGCACTGCACACCTGAAGCCCTCAACCACTTGCCTTCTTCTGAAGGTAGATGAAGTCAACGGAAGGTCAAAGCCCCAAGGCCCAAAGGCCGATATCCACGAAACGGCTGCTGCCTAGGCCCCGGCCTGTAATCCGAAGCCCAGACCTAACTCGCGGCTCGGGCAACACCTATACTCTGATACTTTTTGGGGGGTTCCTTATTTATAGTATTATGGGCCCCAGCCCGCCCTTACTCCCTAACTCCTACCCGAAGTCGTCGCTTGTCGGCGCAATCGTGTCAATAGCATGCCTGGAGCCATGGCGAGGCTCGCGTCCGTGGTCTGTTGAGGGTTTGGGGGATTCGTGGTTCTTTGCTGTCTGGAGGTCAGGGCCTATACTTGACAAGGTCCCAACCGTCATCCAACGCCTGTAGGATTTTTTCTAAGCCTTCTCAACACACCAAATCCTAAGCTTTTTTGGTGCTTCCGAGCATTCGAGACACAGCTCTAGGTGGATGACTATCCAAGCCTCGAGCATTACTGGCACTGCTCCGTGGGGTCCATACTTTTCGATGTCCGGGAACTCTTAAGGATCAAGAACAACATCATTTATAACCCCCTATTAAACTGTACAGTTCTACTTATACTAATTCAGAGCCCCCTCTAATATATCGTATAGTTTTACTTATACTAGTTCATAGCCCCCAATAAAATCGTACAGTTCTACTTATACTACTGTATAGACAAACACCGGAAGCCTTCGTTCAGGCCCCTTGCTTGGAGGGGAAGGGGACTTAGTAAGTAGGGTTATAAGTAGGGTTTTAATTGGGGTAACTCCATTTAAGGTGCTTATAGCTCTACTTATCACCTACTTACTAAGTCCCCTGCCCTTCCAAGTACTTGGCCTTCACCGGGCCTTTCCGAACCGCAAGCGGCCCGTGCCTAGGGATCCGATTTGCGGCCGGCCGACGGCCGAGGGGGACGATCCGGATCTGGGTTCAGAGTCTTAAGTTAAAGTTCAGGGAATTGGGGTTTTGGATTTAGAGCCTTAAGGTTTAGTGTGTTGGAGTTGTGGGTTTAGAGCCTTAACGTTTATGGTCTTGAGTTTTCATTTTTACGTTCACGATTTCCGTAGTAGCGTTGTGGCTTGTAGAAGGGTCTGCAGTAGCTGTATTATATGGACGGGAGTTTGACAGGTTCCCATCAATATCCAAGGTCTGGCTTTCGACATCTACGGCAGCTAGGTGGTAGTTGACGCTGAGGGTGGATGTTTTTGAGGAGGGATTTCGGGTGTAGAAAAGAGAAGTTTCGATTTCGACTTTTGGTACATTTGCTTGCCAGAGCATGTGATTCTCAAGTCGTGACATCTTTTTTGCACGGCATGGTTACGGTGCTACAGCTCACTTCGTTGTATCTTCGTCCCGAATGTGACAGTCCGTATGCTCAGTTCAGACTTCCAACTTGCGAGACAATCATACTCTGCAGATGTCAGTAATGTGCTGCCATTTGGGGTTTGGGTTTGCTATGCAAGGCCGAAGAAGTTGTGTCGGTCTCAGAGTTCGGATATTTACTCGATTCAGCCATAGCTTGTGGTCTCGCATGAAATCTTCCAGCGCTTCGGTTTGGTCACGTCAGTGCTTCGTGCCTGATCTGAAGCGTGCTGTCGGGCTGCTCTCAAGCACTTCACACCAACCCGATGTCCCCCAAGACCAGCAATGGCACCCTGAGCCTACAGCCTCAGCCGAAAGCCACCATACCCCACGTAACGTAAAGTTCCACAGCACCAGAGCCGAAACTGTGACCGGAAAGCTTTCGTGTTAGCCTTCGGTGCAAACCTCTGATGCTGTACCACTTCCGAACTTCAGACCCTGCAGCCTGCTCAACTTTGTACAAGCTTTATCTATTTAACAGATGCCAACTCGCCTGAATGCCGACGCAAGGCACGAAACTTTAAGCATCTACTCGAAAACCTACAGAAGCCCAAGGAATCTAAACTTAGGGGTACTTAGAACTAATTTTTAATTTTTGGTTTTTATAATCCCTAAGAAACAGCTAGAATCACAATTTTTGCTTGGGTTCTAAGTTCAGTATAGTTAACGCAAGCCCCTGCAGAGCCATGCGCGCCTTGCTCCGCACGCCTCGGCGTGCACTGGCGGCGCGTCTCGGCGCGTCTCGGCGCTGGGCCGGAGGGTCGGCGCCGAGCGTGTAACCTGCCTGGGCAGAGGTTGGAGGGATATTACTATAGTCTCCTAGGATTCTTTTTTATACTTTTGTTCATATAAAACCCAAGAGAACATTAAACATAGTATTTGTATTATGGTTCTAAGGGGTGTATAGACTAAGAGATAAGAGATGTAAGCAACAAATCCTCTCTTGGCTCACTAGAGCCACTCCTGCAGCCACATGAGTTCGTCTTCCGTGCTGGCCCAGGCGTAGGTGTAGAGGGCTAGGCGCGGGCGGGCATGTGGCCGTAGTCGTCGCCGTCGTCGTCGTCGTCGTCGTCGTAGCAGCAGAAGCAGCAGTCCCAGACCCCCGGGAGGATCCAAAAAGTATAGATCCCTTAATGGGGGTTCCTATAAAGTACCCTTAGTAGTATAGGGCCCCAAATTAGGGGATTTACTTTTTAGATCCTCCAAAGGGGGTCTGGGGTGCTGAGGCAGGAAGTGCTGGAGGCGGCGAAGCAGGAAGAGCAGGCGAGCTCGGGTTCCGGGTGCTCGGGGTCCGCGTGTTTGTGCCCCTCGTTCTCCTTTTGGGGGGGTCCTTTGTATGACTATACTAGAAAGTAGCCCCAAACCCTATTCTCATTATTAAGGCCTGTTGCTTAGGGTTTTGGGGTGTTTGGTGGCAGTGATGAGGTTGGGCCCAGGAGAAGGAAATTCATCAGGCAGTAGCTGCCCATGGTACTGCTGCTTTGCAGGTAGAAGGTTATTGGTATGTGAACTGCGTTTTCTCGCACTAATCAACCTCCATGGCAAGGCTCATAGCTGCAACTGACTCTGAGCTCGAAGGGAATTCCACGACCTCTGTTTTTCTTTGCGGGGCTGGGGTTTCTCTCGGGGTCCCCGATGTTCAGAAACTCCCAAACAGAGGGCGGCTGATGGTCGACACCAGGTCTGTTCAAGAAGGCAGGTGTGGGAATCGGCCGCTGTACTGGAGCGAAGCGCACAAGACGTGACCTGAAGAACTACATAGAATTACGTTTGACAACAACAATACCAATAGTAATAATAAATCTGCTTAGGGCCCCGGTATGGTTCTACTATAACATGCCCTCAAGCCTCATTCCGTTGAAGGCCCATCTCTTAGCCACAGTCCCGGGAAGACCTACGCCGAAAACCTCTCCACACCAAAGGAGGCGGTAGTGGAGCCCAAAGTGGAAAGAAGCAGCCCGGCTGTTTGAGGTTTTTGATGCTTGACGGTCTCTGAGGGGATGCACAGGTAGCTGTTCACATTTGCGCATGTGTCTTTGCATCTATTCAGTTCTGCTTGCGCAGATTCTTTACAACGGTGGATCTTACTTTTGGAACCCAAAGCGAGCCTGCATAGTTCTGAAAGAACCTTATAGATTTCTCGCATGATGTGCTGAGAGGAGGTGCTACAGCCAGGTTTTGTGGCTTCGCGCTCGAGGTTCAGTTCCGTCAGCCCTTCAGACCCCCCCAAGAACTGCAAAATTGGACTTTCTCTGTGTGTGCATGTGTGTGTGCATATGTGGCGTTGTTTCTTGCTTCCTTTATCTGAAGTCTCCGCATAAAGCACCCTCAACCCTAAACTAGGGCTTTTCAAGGTGAAGCAGCAATCAGATTGAAGCTGGAAGC